CCACCACTCCAGCAACCCTCAGTTTGTTTCCCAAGATTAAGAGTCTATTATGGTTTGTCTCCCTCTCTGGTTTCATCTTGTTTCATTTTTCCCTCCCTTCCCCTATGATCCTCTGTCTTGTTTCTCAAAATCCTCGTATGAGGTGATGGCACTTTTAGCTAAGGTTGCTAGAGGTGTCTTACTTAGAAGGTCACATTTGGGTATAGATCTGGATGAAGTGAGGGACCAGACCCTCTGAGTCTCTGGGACAAAATGGTCCAGGGAGAAGGAACAGGAAATGCAAACACCCGACCGGAAGCGAGAATGATTGGCATGTCTGAGAAAGAGCAAGGAGACAGTGTAGGTGGAGTGGAATATGCAAGGGAGAGGATGATAGTTGATGAGGCCAGCAGGGTAGATGGAGTTAAATCACTTTATAAGCCTCCCATGGCCTTTGGCTTTTATTCTGAGTGAGGTGACAAAGCATGGGAGGGATTTAAAAGTTCAGACCAATAGCGGGATCTGTGGGAAAGGGGAATGGGTTTAGGTATTGCAAACAGTTCATTTTGACCGGAGCACAAAGGAAGGACAGAAGAGAGGTGCACAGGGCCTTCTGTGCCCTGTTGAGAGGCCTAGATTTTATCTTGAGAATGATAGGGAGCAATGAAGAATTTGAATAGAAGGGACAGTCAGATCTTTTCTTTAAGAAAGATCACTTGGCAGCGGTGTGATGAATAGATTTGAGGGTGGGAAGTGAACCTGAAAGCAAAACAGCCCAAAGCTGTTGATCTATGTAGTGCAGGAGGGAAGCAGGGAAGGTGTGAGTTCAGGGGTGCTGGGGAGAGATGAGTGCTGAGGTTGGGTGTTCCGTGAGTTGTAGCGGGAGGCAGCAACCACAGATGACTCCATTTCTTCCTGGGCTTCATTTTGGGTTGGTTGATGCCTTTCCACACGGGGATGCAAGTTTGAGTTAACGTGAAAATGAATTCCTATTGGAATTTGTACAGCATTTGGGATTCTTTATAGGATGTCAGCATGGAGATGTTCATGAGCTAGATACACAAGTCCGGCACTCAGGAAAGGGTTTATAAGCCAGTGAACAAACATTAATTCTGGATACCACATCTAGTTACTGAGTTGAAAAACATATAATTTGTGTGAAGACTTTATTTTATTCCTTTGCCTTTTTGGGAACCACTTTATATATTGTGGGAGTGGAAACTGTTGGCAGAATTTTAAGTGACTCCAGAGGACCATACAATAGATACCAGGTTTTAAGAGAAACAATTTACTGCTCTGCTGAAATCAGTAGTCTTGGGGAATCCCTCTTCCGTTTTTGGTAGGAGGCATGACTTCTAGATACAAGATGTTTTTATTGATTTCTTTACTGCTCTCATTTTTTAAGAGGAAGTTCCTCTTGTTAAGATTACACCATGAGAGTGTATGAAATTATGTTGCTTTTAGATTCACAAGAAATGTTCATCCGTTGTCTGAGAGTGACCATTTAAACAGCAAATATTTCAGTCTATTTCATTAAGTAAACAGGAAATTAGCAAATGGCTTATGGCCTGAAATAATTCATGGAAGTTGCTAATTCCTAGGCAAGGAAGTTCAGGGAAGTATATGATGAAAGCAAGGGATTAGAAGTTAGAAGACCAGAGTTTTGTTTCATCTCTTACTGCCAATTACTAGCCATGAGATTTGGACAGATCATCTTTCGATGGTCAGGTTAGTCATCTGGAAAATGAAAGCAGTAACTCACTGTTGCTCATGAGCTGGTGCATTCATCGAACAGGCGTTTGTCAGGAGGCATTGTTCTAGGGCTGGGCTGCAACACTAGATAGACAGGCATGGTTCTTACTCTCACAGTTTGCCATGTTGTGAATTACAGCAGTCTGGATGGAAAGTGGATATCAGAGCACCGTATAAATTGTAAAGCACTATGAAAACATCATGGTGATTCTGGCTTTATTCTTTCCAGAAGATTTAGGTTCTCTTCTCATTTGAGTGATAAATTGGTAGAAATGGAAATAAATGGTAGGTTTACACACAGACCTCAACCCTTCCCAAAAATTAACTCAAGATGGAACATAGTCCTAAATGTAAAACTATAAAACTCCTTGTAGGTAACATGGGAGAAAAATCCAGATGACCTTGGGAATGGTGATGACATTTTAGATACACCACCAAAGAAAGGCACCACAATGAAAGAAATACTTGATAAGCTGGACTTCATTAAAATTAAAAACTTGGACTCTGTGAAGGATACTGTCAAGAGAATAAGACAGGCCACAGACTGGGAGAAGATATTTGCAGAAGACATAATCTGATAAAAGGCTGTTGTCCATAATATACCAAGACCTCTTAAAATTCATTACCAAGAAAACTAACAACCTGATTTAAAAATGGGCAAAAGACCTGAACAGACATCTCACCAAAGAAGATGTACAGATGACAGGCATAGAGCATATGAAAAGATACTTAACATCATCTGTCATCAGGGAAATGCAAATTAAAATGAGATAACCACTTCACATCTTTTAGAGGGGCTAAAATCCAGAAACCCGACAACACCAAATGCTGATGAGCATGTGGAGCAACAGGAACTCTCATATGTTGCTGGTGGGAATGCAAAATAGTGCAGCCACTTTGGAAGACAGTTTGTTTCTTATAAAAATGAACATGCTCTTACCATACAATGTGGCAGTGTTGCCTCTTGGTATTTACCCAGGTGAGTTGAAAACTCATATCCACATAAAAACCTGCACACAGATATTTATTCATCACCACCAAACACTGGAAGCAACTAAGATGTCCTTCAGTAGGTGAATGGATAATCAAACTGTGGTACATCCAGACAGTGGGACATTATTCAACGCTAAAAAGAAATAAGCTGTCTTGCCATGAAGAAACGTGGAGGAACCTGAAATGCTTATTACTAAGTGAATATAATTAATTATAATTAATTATGATTTCTACTATATGACATTCTAGGAAAGGCAAAATTGTGGAGACAGTAAAAAATCAGTGGCTGCCAGGGGTTGAATGGCGGGGGGTGGGGGGTGATAAATAGGTGGAGCATAAAGGATTTTTATTAATGAAACTATTTTATATGATACTGTAATGGTGGATACATGTCTTTATACATATGTCCAAATCCATAGAATGTATAACATAAAAAGTAAACTGAACTTTGGATGTAATGACATGTCAGTGCAGGTTTATCAGTTATAACAAAAGCATCACTCTGGTGTGTGATGTTGATAGTGGGGGGGCAGGGATTATATGGGAATTTTCTGTGCTTTCTGCTCAGTTTTGCCGTGAACTGGAAACTGTTCTTAAAATTAAAGTCTATTTTTTAAAAAGTGGTTCTCTCTGGCAGAGGAGATACGATGCAGGTGTGCCTTGCACATACGGGGTAGACAGTTATTAAATGTTTGTTGAATGAATAAAGGAATGATGTTAGGATTTGGAAATTCAAGCAGGTACTTACTCCTATCTTTTCAGAATTTTTTTTTTTTACATTTTAAGAAAAGTGGGAGTAGTTGTGTCTGGCACTCACAAGAATCCATACAGAAAATTTAACTCCGAATACAAAATATTGATTTTTAGAAAGTGCCAGAGTCAGCACTATATCCTTAGATTTCAAAATATGAATTAGAACGGTTTCATGCCATTGGAGAGTGTTAGACACAGCATGAGATATCTAACGTTTCTAATGGTGAATGAAGCAAAATCTCAAATTTAGAAACCAACATGATTTATTTATCTTGGGAAGTAAAAGGAAGGTTAAGGTCCCAAGATTTTATTTATTCATAAAGCATGCAAAATGAAAGTCCTTTTTTCCCCAAAGAAGTTTAACGGGAAGCAACTTGTATGATAGCTCATGTAGCAATTAAATGAAAGTTCTGTACTCCCTGGGGTATTTTAAAACTATACAACTTTGGGTCAATTTCAGATAAATGTTAATATCCACAATACATTTTCAAAAGTTCTAAAGGCCCTTGACTGTGACACTATTTTTATAATCATTTGCACAAAATCCCACATGTTGACAGTAATCAGCATTGGCGAGAACATGTGAAGGCTGCTTCAGCACTTCTTAACAGATGGCCTTCTCCATTCATTTTCTTCTCTAGGCAAACATGCTGAAGACATATTTGGTGAGCTGTTTAATGAGGCTAACAACTTCTACATCAGAGCAAATTCTCTTCAAGACAGAATTGATCGCCTTGCTGTCAAAGTTACCCAGCTGGATTCAACAGTGGAAGAAGGTAGGTAATTGCATGAAAGCAATGAGCTAGAAGTGATGGTGACAAGACGGTAGTAATTAATTGCAGTGTAATCACTGCTTTTTCCTTGGGGTAGTGTGCTGATATTTCATCTTGTCCTTTCTAGAAGAATGTTGGTGGGGGAGGGCACAACGTTGGGTAAGGTAGTAATTAAAGAGTCTTGTTTACCTCATAGATGCCATCCATACTCTCTTTTTAAAAAATGTACACGTATAGTATTTGTTTTAAAGGATTCTTTGAATATTTTTGGTATTAGAAACCCTAGTTTAGGTCATTGGTGATTCTTTTAAAGATACTTTCTTACCTAAAAATCACAGAATCACTCCAAAGATGTGGTCCAACTAAGAGGGAGGGTGATACATACGCAGCGTGACTGAGTGAAGGTGTCCACCTGCTACCCTTGTTGGGGTTGATGCCTATAAATAATCGTGGTGATCCTGCTGATTTCACATCTCAAGAAATAGCATTTACTGACGGCCTTTAGGTGTCATGGTTGTAAAGTTAAAAGTGGTAAGCACTGTGTAGGTAACTGATAATCATTTTGAGGATATACCCTGAAATTTTGACAGTTTCAATAAAATGAAAATTCAGCAATTCCTTTTTAAAGATTTCACTTTCTGTATCTTTTGGATGAGAGAATGAGATTAGACTGGAAAAAAAATCTGCGAAAAAAGGTAGAAACAGCATTTCATATTTATTTGAGAAAAATGTTCAGATTAACAGTTATTTTTACCTTTATATAGTGGTAGTTATGATTTCTCTTGTTGCATTAAAATGGTCTTAGTATATGATTTTTCTACTAGACTTAACAATAGTAGTAGTAATAAAAAATGGAAGTTTTATTTTTTTTTAAATGTGTTTTAGGGAATTCGTCCCTCATCATTTTAAAAAAATGTGTTTACTCCTGGTCAGGTCTTTTTCAAAGATCTATATTAGATTAGTGAATTAGAAATTTAACAAAAATGTAGAGCATTGAAATTTTAATATCCATTATGATACATTCTTTAATCTGATTTTTAAGATTTATCTTGTTTGAAAAAAGTAAAACCTTGGATAGCTATTTGGTCTATTCAGATAAGAAATTTTAGCATCTTAAGCCAGTCATTCATTTTCACATTGGTATCACAAATGATTTTTAGTGTTTATTCATCTTCCTTCAGTTTTTTTGTAGGATCTTGCAATTGGAAAACCAGTGATAAACCTTGTGCTGGAAAAGGTTAATCTGTACACTAGAGTTCTTAAGATTTTACAGTGTATCTCATATCTTTAAAATCCCTTCCACTCAAGATTTATCTGATTTCTGTCTTTTGCATGGATTTTATAGTAGAAAAAACATTTGACCAAGTTAGGAAATCTGTGTTCTATTTTGGGTCTGCCTTTTCTCCCTGGGTGATCTTGGAAGAGTCGCTTAACACCCGACTCTCAGCTTCATTGGTCAAGTGGGTTAATGGACCAGGTTGCCCAATTCAAAAGTTTCTGTCAAAGTTAGATGAGTTAATACGTGAGATGTGAAGTGTTACACAAACACAAGAAATAGGTATAATCAGCCCTGATTTTCTTACCCCTGAGTGTAGTTTTATATGCTGCTACTTAATTTCTAGGACTATACGTATTTTGAAAAGCCTTGCCATCTTTCCTTAATGTTAGTGTCAGTAAAACTTCATGCATTTTTTACATTTGTATATTTTTTACAGACGTATTGCCTGCATGTATTACATTCAACTGGTATTAACTGAATATTTTTTTCCTCCAGGATACCCAAACCTTTGTGTTTACATGCCTGTTATACTCAACTATATTCCTGCGTGGTTTCTGAAAAATGCTATTATAAAGAATGTTGTTCTAATACTAGGTTTAAAGAAATAATTAGATCACTACAGAAGAAGAAAAGACATGATTTGTCTTCATTTTATAGAGACAGCTGTTATTTATAAGAAGGAAGGAATGTACATGCTATGTAAGCATGGTTTTAAATGAACAATAAAAACATGATTTTGTTACTCTAGAATCATAAATTCTATTTGTGATTGTGTCTCAAATGAGACTTATTGCTAAACAGTTAAAAATATTTCAATATAACTCAACCTGGGGGGCTTTTTTTCTAAATAGTGTCACTGCAGGATATCAACATGAAAAAAGCTTTCAAAAGTTCCACAGTCCAAGACCAGCAGGTGGTTTCAAAGAACAGCATTCCTAATCCCGTTGCTGACATTTACAACCAGAGTGATAAGCCACCTCCTCTGAATATTCTTACACCATACAGGTATGGCTTCATGCATTCCCAGTGCCTTTTTAGTCTAGATAAGCTGAGGGAGGACGACAGTGCTGTGGACGTGTTTTTTCAAACTTTGAATATAATTGCAGGTATTATATACAACAAAATTAGTTTACCGGTACAGAATTGTTAAATTAAGGTTTAATATTTCAAAATAGAGATAAACTCAACCAAGAGAAGTGTGAGCTCTAATATTAGCTTTCGTGGATATCCTTAGTAGGTGTAGGTAGCTACTTCTGTAGATACCTGAGGGTAGATATCTGAAGTAGAAGTGGACACATTGCATAGTATTATGTGTGCTTATGTTGTTCCTTATATTCAAAGTCCACTTTAAAGGAACTGCATAATTCATTTATAATGCAGCGAAATACCTATTTCAGCATTTCAGCGCTGCAGGGACATTGTTATTTAATTCAGAAAAAGGTATGCTGCAGCAATAGGGGTTTTTACGAGTGAATAATACAGTCAACAAATTAACCTGTTACTCTAAAATGGTGGGACACGGTATCAAGACCAAACTTTCCAGAATAAGAATGGAAAATCAATAGTGGAAAAAATTAATATTAAGAAACTAAAAAGGCTTGTTAAAAACACCTCTCCTACCTCTTACCACATTAGTGTTTTCTTTCCATAATTTGTCACCTTCATCCCCGTCTCCCTTTTCCACATACCTTCTCACTGTCCTTCGTTGTACAGCTTGTTCTTCTTTGCTCTCCAGGTAAGCTCATGCCCTCAGCCTCTGATGAACACAGGCTGTGGTGGAGGGTGTCCTCACGGCCCACAGGACTAGCTCCGCTGGCTGACAGACTCCCTTTACCATCGATCGAGTGGGTTCTCTGTTTCCGGTGCCACCATCTTGGGCCTTTTGGTCCTTATGGGGGAGTGCTCAGAGGTTTTTTTGTCTGAATTCCTGTTCCTTCTCAGGGTCCAAAGGGAGGTGTTTGGACTCACCCTCTGTTGCAGCTCTGCTAATAAAGCAGCAGTTCAGCAGCATCCCTTTCTTTCAGCACGGAGAGAAAACATAATAGAAATCCCATGGAAACTATGATGGGAGAGGGCCAGTGGGCCACAGCTTTCTATGAGTATGCTTTTCTGGAAGTTTTAGCACGCTCATCTAAAAATTAATGATCTACATGAGTAGTAGTATTGTAAGCCTGATGTTTTATCTTGTGCTTTTGCTTTCATTCCATAGGCATTTTTTTGGGGGGGGTGGCAATTTCAGTTTTATTTAGCACTAGAAGCCCCAAGGGCAGGCCTATTAAAACTTTCCTAAGACATCTCACTAAATATTCTGTTCTAAAGGAAAAAGCCTAGAAAACTCAGTGGACCACTTACATGTGATGAATCGAGATCATGATTAGATACTTGTAGTGATAGACAACTTTTAATTGTATAAAAAATGAATTGACTTTCATATATATTGTATGTGTATGTTCAGTTTTATGGAAAATAAAAATGTCTGACTTTTTAGTAGTGTGTTTAAGAATAGCAGTGCTAACTCAAATGTACTTTTTGACAAAGTAGTATTTGAGGTATATAAAACACTTAAGACCGTGTTAATATATGAGCATTACAACATGACTGGAAAATGAAGTATTGGTTGCTATCAACATAGGACATTGCTGCTTATATTCTTATGTTGAGATTAATATTTGTTTATTGACATGAGTTTCTGCCTTCATTAAAGTATTAACTCCCCCTTTTTAAGAAAACTTTGTTTTATATGTCTTAAATTTTGTAGCAAGTAACTGTGCATTTTATGTCTTAAATTTTGTAGCAAGTTACTGTTCAGCTTTTCTGTATCCTCAATCCATTCGGAAGGCCTGGTATCTTTGGGACACTATATTTTTCACAGTAATGTTATTAATAAAATCTCTATAATGCAGGTCTCCTATCAGTTAGGAGACTTGGAAAGGAAAAGAAGGGTTTCAAGTAATAAAGATTGAAGTGTAAAGCGAATTGCCATGGTTAGTGATTTTCAGACGGTCGATGGGCCGGAGTAACCCCTATAGGAACCTGGGCCTTAGTTTGTGATGAACGTGGCATAGCAGGAACATCAGGGACCGGCAGGCAGGATTTTACCCTGGGCTCATTCAGAGTGAGTTTTCTTTGACTGGGCATAAACTCTTTCTTATGCTCATCTCACTGTGCCTCATTTCATTTTGCTTTTCTCTGTGCCGTAAATGACTTACTGAAACACTGATTTGAAATGTAAATGCTCTGCTTCCTCTTGAAGGTAATCTACAGGCCAGATACTTTTTTAAAGCATTAGTCGTATAGAGCGTTTAGTTCGTGTTAAGATTATTTTGAGCCTTCCTATTGATTTATGTTACAACTTGGGATTTGTATTGGTTTTTTGATAGATGAATAATTTATATAAATCCTTGAAATAGTCTTTAGACCACAGTGGTTGTAGCAGGACTTGAAAGTGAAATGCCACAAGTGAATTCTCTTTGTGGGTTACTTCACCTTCCATCACACTTAATACACTGGGAACATTTTGCTCCTTTCCGAATTGAATTTATAGATGTTGGGCCAACCTGATAAAAGGGACAGCATCCTTACTAATTTTTATCCTGATAATATTGAAGCTCCAGAGTAGAGGTGAATATCTGTACACACCAAGAATCCATTCATCTCTATGTATGACTCCTGTTGGAATAAACAAAACATTTCCTGAAATAATTGAGGTATCAGATATCATTGTTTATGAGCCATATTGTGATTTTGAGGCACTTTTCTGTACTTAAATCTGAATTGGCAAGAGTACTTTTTATGTAATTATTCTAGAAAAAGTTACTATTCTTGCATGTTCACCTTTTTTTTTTTTTTCAAATAAGGAGATCAGAGAGACTTAATGTGTAGGACAGTCAAAGTGCCCCATGTAGATGTTACCATCTCATGAGTTAAATTAAGTGAATATTCACTCCACATGAAAATGTCTGATAGCCTTTTCCCCCAACTTGTGCTACATTGATTTACAGAGATGACAAAAAGGATGGGCTGAAGTTCTACACTGATCCTTCCTATTTCTTTGACCTCTGGAAAGAAAAAATGCTGCAGGACACAGAAGACAAAAGGAAGGAGAAGAGGCGTCAAAAGGTAAATAATCCTAGTACGGGAACTCATGAATCAACGTTTAAATGAGATCCCTGTATGGAAAAAAGTCAGTAAGTCCTTTATGTAAATGGTTGAGATGTTGGATTTAGTGCAGAAGTGCAGGTTTCATTTTTTACATGAAGATACTGACAGTTTAATCTAACACAGTAATACTGTTTTTCAGTAAATGCTGCCTGATTTGTTCCCTAATACTTGCTTTGCTTGAATAGAAGTAGTGACCAGAAGTTTTGTTTGTAACCATGTTTTATAACTTTTCTCCTGCTCTTTAAATTTAACAAAGCAGTCAACATTTCATACCAGATATAATGACCTGCTCTCATCTCTTTAAAGCATTCTTAATTGGTGTGTTGCCATCTCGCTAAACTTAACATTGAGGAGATGTTCATATTGGATTGAAAAGCGTGTGTGATCTGTACATTTAGGGCATAGTATTTACCAAAAAATGAAATTCCTTTTGGTGGGGTGTAGTAGGCAAGTGACTTGCAAGTCTGAAGGTTGAGAAACATCCCCATTATGAGCACTCTTAGAAGAATAATCACACTCTGCTCAGGTTTAGGGACTTCTGTCTTAAGAACTTCCCCTCTTTAGCACCCAGAAATTAGACTTAACCTCCTGAGAGTTAATTCTCCAAAGGCAAATATTTGCTAAGACTTTTATATGTAAACTATGTTTTTAAAAATGAGCACCTGGTTTGCTTGACAAATCTTAGAGTGCTTTCGTTAAGACAAATTCTTAGCATGTTGTGGGTTAGTGACCTTAATGTTTGGAGGCATCTCGATGTACTGGCCCCATGGAAGCAACAGTTTGGGATGGAAGAGAATGTGAGATTTGAAAACAGGATTTAAGAAAGGGAACATAGAAACAGTTTGCAGACTACAAGTGTAAGATGTTCCCACCGAAATTCAGGAAAGAATTGTAAAGGTTGGTTATTCATGCTCTCTCCTTGTACTGTCAGTGGGGAGATGAATGGGGAAATCTTGGAAGAGCTGCTGAGTGTTGAAGGGGGAAAGTATTCAAGTGAAGAAAGTATAAAGTATTTAAGTGAAGAAAAGAAAGATCCTAATCTCTTGACTGGAAAAGAAACAGATATCTAGAGGCCGGTTGGTCCCTGTACCTTTTTATACTAACAGGGATTTAAGACTATATTCCTTTAAGACCTGCCTGTCCTTTTAAATGGTCTTCTAGGTTTCCCTTCTTAGTGATACTTTAAGCAAAAATATCTAATTTTTTCAGCAGTGTTCTTCAGGGGAAAACAGTCTTAGTCTGTGGATGATTATCATGTCTTCAAAACTATACCATTTCCTTGGCTGTTTTGTCCCATAACACATTCCTCCAATGCATAAAATTCTGATGAGAATTTCTTATTCACTTATATAATAATGTTTTTTGAATGCCTTCTAAATGCTGGATAAACAGTGGTGGGAAAGGATTATCACCCTCACGGAGATTACAATGTAGTGGGGGAAACAAACATTAAGTAATCATGCAGCCCACTGGAACTCATAAAGAGGGAAAGAATTTTGAAAATTCTAATACAAATATGCTTTTATTATGTAGGAATAGAAACTGGGACCAGCTATCCTTCATTTCCTAGGATTTCAGAAATGCAGGTTTCAGTTTGGAGCTGAAAAGTCTCTCTGAAGGAAAAGTTAGTTTAGAAAATTTGGGGATGAGAAATCCATTGTTTCTGAACTTGGTTTCCTTAGTTTGCTGGTTTAAAAAACATTTTTTAAATGATGCAAATAAATATGTAGTTGTAAGTGTGTAGTTACAGTGCCTGGTAAATGTTGTGAAGGAAAAGTATGGTGTGCGGTGGGTGAGGTGACAAGGTGGGGGGGGGGCGGGTAACCGTGTAGGTGAAGTGGTGTCATTCACTGAGTTCCAACAGTGGGGAGTTAGAAGTCAGCTAAGCAGAGTCAGTGTGTGTGTGTGTGTGTGTGTGTGTGCATGCGCGCGTGCGTGCATAAAAAGGGATGCTGGAGGAGTTGGGGGCAGAGGAGGTGTGGGGTGCTTCAGAATCGAGGAGCGTTCGAGGTAGAAGCAGCTAGGATCATCCCAGGCTAGGAGACAGTTGGGCACATTCATACAAAGCCAGTGTAGTTGGAGTACAAATGCATCACTGTGAACCCTTTTCATAGTCGGTTTGTGCATACGTGTGTGTGTGTGTGTGTGTGTCATGTGCATGATGATTGGTAGATTTGGAGGCTGAACCTCCGTAAAGAAAGTTGGAGATAATCATAACACTTTATCTAAATACGTCAGCATACGTCTTTTATTAAAAGTAAGGGTGACAGTTACTGATTAATACAGTGGTTCTTAATCAGGACGTGTGTTGAAATCTGTTGAAATCTCTCTCCTTTTGGTTTCTACAAGTATATAGACAATGCATGCTGGTTGTAAAATGCTCACATTACACTGAAGTAAATACATTAGTTTAGAAAATTTGGGGATAGGTTTCTTCCTTCCCCAGGTATCACCAATCACTAGTAATGATTGTGCACATTTTTAGACCTTTTAAGCATTCATAAATATATGCATACATTTCACAAAGTACTTTTACATGCATAGAATTGTACTACACATGACTTATACACACGCACATGCAGACATACACATATATTGACATATTAAAGATGTTCTTTGTTCTTTTTAATAGTTGTATAGTATTCCGAGGTATGCATGCTACATAAACTACCCCTCACTGTATTAGGACATATTTCAGTGGTTTGTGAATAGTTGCTTAACAGTACTGTGATACTACGTGACTCACGTGCAGATATGTCTTCTGGGTAAACTTCTAGAAAACAAATCTGAGCTTTAAATTTTGAAAGATACCATCGTACTGCCCGACCATTAAAAGACTGAACCAGTTTACGCTCTTAACAGACTTCTTCCAGACCTGCATATCATTATTACTTTTTTTGATGCACTCATCCACCCCGCCCCCCAAGAATCTCATTTACATTACATTCCTTTTCATATCTTTATTAAGCATTTATATATGTTCTGTGAATTCCATGTTCACATCCTCTGCCAGTACCTCACCCAGGCCTCCTGCATCCCTCTGCCAACAGTCCAGCTCTGTCCCGGCCCCCACCATGAGCCACCAGCCACCCTTTCAAGGACCTGCCTTCCCCCTTTGGAATCTGTTCTCCACAACCTGGAGGGATCTTCTCAAATGCCTCCACAGCGTGTCAGCCCTCCCTTCTCACCTTCAGTGGTTTCCCATTGCTCTGGGGATAAAGAACAACACTTTTGCCCCAGCCTGTGAGGTCCAGCCTACCTTTTAGATCGCAGGAGGCATTCCCCCTAACTCCCCATGACCTTCTTTCATTCCTCCCGATGTGCTGCCGTCCCCCCTCCTCAGAGCCAGCGCACATTCTCTCTCCTCTGGCCATGCACCCGACCCCTTTGCCGAATGGGTGCCTGCCCACACGACAGAGCTTGTCACAGTGCCTCCAGGACACTCCCTGACTTCCATGCAAGGCAGCATTCAGTAAACGATGCATTGGCGTTTCACCATATGCTATACCTGTACATTTGTTTGTGTGATTTTGTGGGCCTCCCCCACTGCATTGCAAGCTCCATGAAGGCCAGTTCCTTGTCTTTTGTGTTTGTCTGCTGTTTGCATCATCAGCGCCTGACACGGTGCCTGAGACGTTGTCGTGAGCACCATAAGCTCACCCGGATCTGATCGCTTAGTCAGCATTTGCGAGTGTGTACTCTGTGTGAAGCTGTGTGTGGAGGTACTTTAACGGGAGTGTAGGAGTTAAAAGCACGTAGTTCTCATCTTTAAAGACCATAACCTCTTATTTGGGAAGTACAAAAAACACATAACACATGTAGGAATAACTGTCCTCACCTTTAAAGAAACACCGACGTAGGACCCAAGTTTTTATCGGATACGTTTTTGCCAGCAAAGTAGGGCTGGAGCAAGACTGATTCTCTGTATGGGAAGGTAAGTTCTTACCATGTTTTTGTTCTGTGTTAAGCTAGTTGCAGGATTAGCTTAAATATTCTGTAACAATCTTTTAGAAACTGGCAGTGGAGTATTTTGAGTGATTTTTGTGAAAAGATGATTGCATATTAACAATTCAGTCGAAATTGTGTACTGGTAGGACATGATTAGTCTGTATCTCAGACACTCATCTGTATAATGCAGATCTAAAAGATCTAGTACATTTAAAACAAGCAAAAAACCTAGTAAGATGCGAATTCTTTACCAGAAATGATGGTAAGCGACTCCTGGAGGTAGCTGCCACAGTGTAGCTTCTGTTTATTTAGGTTAAATGGTTAAGTATCAGTTACCGCTGCTGGGTCTGTGTCAGGTAAGAGCATATATACTGTGTTAGAATTTTCTTAACGTTAGTGTGATCTGAAATGGGAATGTCTCTTGTCTGCACGCCGGGCTTGTTTCCCGTGCATTACAACTGCATTTAACCTGCTCTTTTCCTTTCCCTTCTGTCTCGGCATGCTTGCTTTCTCTTCCTGGACATCAGGAGCAAAAGCGTATAGATGGCACAACCCGGGAGGTGAAAAAGGTTAGGAAGGCCAGAAACAGGCGCCAGGAGTGGAGTATGATGGCATATGACAAAGAGCTTAGACCCGACAACAGGCTCTCTCAGAGTGTGTACCACGGAGCGTCTTCCGAGGGATCCCTGTCCCCAGACACTAGGTGTGTGTGCGTGTGTTGTAGCAAAACCTCCGCGTAGTACTTGGTTTTATTATGTGTTGGAAACACACCAGTGGCTTTGGTGTTTATATGGCCCGCGATATGTTTCAAAAACTTTCCTTAAAAGTTAATGATAGGTATTTTTTGATTTTGAAATAATACTTGAAAGCAGTTTCATTTTACATTGGGTTACTTTGTATGATTTTCCATCACTCTGACTCAAGTTTTTTGTTCCACTAACCTAGATGTAGTGTTTTTAACATCGATGCTAAATTTGGGCTTAGTAACTACCAATGGCTTACATTTTTATCTTAATAATCATTTAATCCTTTCTCTCCCTCTTTAGCTTAGAGTGTTGAATTTGCTTTGCCATTTGATAATCAAACTAAAAATAATTAGCAGATGGTAATTGATGTGCCTAAGATGGAACTTTATTACTCTTTTTGGAAACCTTTTCTAAGACTGATGAGCAAAAGAGATAGTTATTTCTTCCATTTACTAATCTTATGTGTTCTAATTTCAGGAGAAGAATTCTGTTGGAGTTACTTTAAGAATTTGTAAGCATTTAAGTAAAAATATTCCTTGCAGGTGTGAATGATGTGGTCACTAAGTCACATTTGTTGCAAAAGGGACTCATGGAACAACAGAGACTCACTAGTCAGTTTGTACTTCTGCTTTAATTTCCTGTCTCTGCTTGTGTAAGGTCGTGATCTTCCACTAGCCAGAAGCCTCAGAGTCTTCCGTCAGCATTTCAGAATTTGAATAGAAAATTCTTACGTGACTCAAGAATGTTTCAAAAACAGCAACAACCTGGACCTTACGTTATATCTGTGTCCTTTTTTCTTAAATTTTACCTCTATAACCTCAGTGTCTAACACAGACTCTGCACACAGAAGATATTTCATATTTGGTAATTACTGTGCCCAGAAATATCCCTACCCCAGAAGGGCTGTCAGTCATTGGTTGGCTATGCTAGGAGGCAAGTTCTAGGCAGTTTTTCTGTACAAGCTGTTACCTGTTCAGTACTAGGGAATTATTGGAGCTGTAACTGAGCGTTCACGTCAAGTGTGAATCTCTATGTCTTTCCATTTCCATAGAAAATAATAATGATGATTCAGGTTTGCTCACAGGTCTTGGGGTGAGGAGGGGTACTTGAATATGATAGATAGCCCCCAGGGTGTTTCCCCCAACTAATTTGTGATTATTTACTCATGTAAAACTTACACTTTATTTTATAATACTCCATATATATTCTTATTTAAGTAGGTACAGATGGAAAAATGATTTTTTTAATCCCACAGTTGAATGATTGCTATTTATTCTAGCATCTGAGATTCAGTTTTTCCGTGATGGGTATAAAATTGATGATTACTGAGATTATTTAGTATTTTGCCTTTGTATTTATGTTGTTTAGATAGATATTCATTTCTCTTATTTTTCAGAACGTAAATCCTATTTCCTGTGGCCTCTTACTATCTGCGTGTACCAGATAATAGATTAAAATTCATCATTGTACTTGGATCCTATCCCTTAATTTAGAATCTTTTATTTTTTATTTTACTGAAGTATATCACTTTTTTCTTATTATAAAATAAGATGAACTTCTTATATTTGGAAATGACAGAGAAAAATTAAAATCTTATCCATAATCCTATCATCCAGAGAAACCACTGGTTTGCATTTTAGCGTATTTCTTTGGTCATTTTTCTATACGTATATATGTTTTTCTTTTACAAAATTGAAGTCATGCTCTGTTTTCTATCTTTTGACTTCTGTTATTTCATATTTATGTTTTAAGCGTTACTTAGAAACATGGTTTTTAATGGATGTATGGGGGACAACAGTTAAATTTAAATATCAGATTTCATGGCATATGTATGATCTGTTCATGTAAGTAATCTGTTTTAACCCAATCCATGTAAACTAACCATAAAATTTTGCTTTCTCTGTAGATCAGGAATGGTTTGATTGTAAGCGTAAATTTAGGATGAGAATGGACATGCTTCCCTACTGCCCTCTCTCGCCATTATCAGGCGGTGTGAGACCTCCAGCCCAGTGTCCTTGTACTCATGTCCTCCTTTCCTGTGCCCCGTGCTACAGCTGTCCGACTGCCCACCTGTCCACCCCCACGACCCCAGGGGGGTCTTTTGATTCTCCCACTGAGTCTCCACTGCCTACACTTCCTTCCTCCTTTTTCCACGTGGTCTTCACTCTTACCAATTCTTTTCTGTGACAGATAATTAGTGCCGATCATGACGCCTCAGCATCATCCCACTCATCTCCATGTTGGTACAGCATCTTCTGTGGCTGATTGGTAACTTCCTGTGGGGGTCCCTGTCCCCAGCAGGTCCCCAACTCTCCACCTCTCCTTCAGCCCGCTGGTGCCCCCCTCACCGAGCAGCCCCTCTCGAACCCACCCTTCCCCAGAGCCCTGCCCTCTGGAACTCTCCAGCTGCAGTTCTGGTCCTCCGATGCTCACTGCCTGCTCCTTACTCCCTCCTCCATCTGGTCTTCCCCTGTCTCTGGGCTCCGTTGGGGCTCTGTCACAAAGCCACTTTATGAAGGTAGCACTCTGAATCATGCCACAGTGTTTACAATTTCTGGCTCCTCTTCTCATCAGAAGCACTCTGTATTTTACTAGATAACTTTGTTTCCTTGAGAAAGTTGTACACACCATCTGTGACATAGGCCCACACACAGGGTCAAGCACACATCACCAGTGACTCTAGAGTTTTAGGTATTTATGTTTTTAAAATGTGCTAAATCTAAAGCCAGGTCAGGTTCTTCTCCCATTAAAATTTTTTAAATTTTAAATATTTTTAACTCCCTTGCGTAGTTTGCATTGTTCAAAAGACATACTCCTATGTACACCGTAATCTAGAATTTATGCTGCAATTGAGGAAGGAAAAAAGTGAGTTGCCAGTTATTATTATACTGCAATCAGGGAAGAAACAAAGCAAAAAAAAGCAGCCTCTTGTCATTTAGGATGGTTTTCTCTGCTGTGTGATGCTCCAGTTAGGGAAGCTACTGTCTGAGTTTCAAAGATAGAAACTCAGTTGGTGTCTTCCCCGCCCCGCCCTCTACATCCCCAATGTGTGTTTGCCTGTTTCCTCCAGAGAGAGAGACACAAGCTGACCCCTCACAGAAGCCAGCAAATACATGTGAGAAGAGTAAGGACAAGAAGAGAGGAGTGGGAGAGAAGGAAAATGGGCATTGAGTTCATGAGTGACGCCAAGGAGCTGGCGCAGGCAGGGGGCGCCACTGAGGACACGGTGCCCAGAGGGTTCGTCACGTTGCTCTCCCGGACCCCGGCCTCAGCTTGCCTGCCCTGCTTTGGCTGCCCTGACAGGTCGCGCAGCCCCTGTTCTGATCCCATGCGTCCCGGAGCTGGCCTGTAGCCTGGGCCGGGATGCGCCGCTGTCCTTACTAATGCCTGTGGCCTGTGTGGCCGCCACCCTCAATGAGGCCGCGCTCCCTCCAGGGGTGCCCCCCACTGGCATCCCGGCACCCGCATCTTTCCAGGCTCTGCTCATCTAATACCACATCTCCATTCCTTCCAGAGTTTCATGCTCCGCCGTCAAAGAAAAGAAGCCCTTCCCTTACTGCACCGTGTTCTTTCTCTTTTGGCTAAATACTGTCCTTCTGTTTAAGAAAACTCCAACCCGCTGAATTGCATTCTTGATTTCTTCTGCTCTTCTTACTGTTCATATTTACCAGTTCACCTGCCATTTTATAATTTCTAATTATATGCTGTCAGTTCCGTTGCCACTGAAATCCTCTGTCTTAGGTGCTGTTTTCTAATTAAATGGAATTTGTCTTGTAGCCTTCTCTCTTAGAAAAAAAGCGCGCTGAAATATTGCGGAAACGGGGCTCTGCTGTTTCCTGCTTGCCGATCTGTCTGAGTCCCTTCAACATTGTGACTCTGAAGCCATGTAACCCTGGGGCTTTTGCTGCTAAAGTAGTCATTATGTTGTTGCTTGGAAGCTCTCACGGGGCTGGACCTAGTCCGTAGTAAAGAAAAGCAGTGTGTGATTTCTGTACATGGGCAAAGTTATTATTCACATAATATGCTTATGCCTGCTGGAGGGGAATCTTTTTAACTGAATTTCAGTTTCTCCCACCCCTCTTTCCTGAACATCAGGTCACATGCATCGGATGTCACAGATTACTCTTACCCGGCGACTCCCAACCACTCTCTGCACCTGCAGCCTGTGACCCCTTCTTACGCAGCTGGGGACGCGCCACCACACGGGCCAGCAACCCAGGCCCCCGAGCATGAGTACCGACCCCCCTCCGCCTCGGCGAGGCACATGGCCCTAAACAGACCCCAGCAGCCGCCGCCGCCACCCCCACCGCAGGCCGCAGAGGGGTCCCAGGCCTCTGCACCCATGGCGCCAGCAGACTACGGGTAACCCAGGACTCCTGTCTTCTACCTCTGCTTGCTTTCATGTTGGGGGTTTGCTATATGTGGTCTAAAAATATTAACTGAATAATCATACCTTAGGGGCCAGATGTGGCCAAGAATGACTGGATGTAGATACTACCAGTTATGACCAGTTCTGTGTTAAAATAATCAGTGTCACGCTGCTCCCCTTTTTATTACAGATGGATCTCAGGTTTGTGTCTGTATTCATGTATACAAACTCCCTTCATACGTACTTTTAGGTGTGTTTGAATGCATTGCTAAGCCAAGGCATTGAGAAAGGATGAAACGCTGATTTTGTGAACCTGTCCCAAACTCTCAAGTCTCTGTGTGTGTTCTGGGTGAACCACTGAGAGTTCCTATCACAAGTGAGAAAACTATCCAGGGCAGCCACCCCTTGAGCCCCTGCTTGTACTTGACCTTATATTTCCCTTTCTTGATCTCTTGGTGCCCAGACGTCCTTCTACCCCCAGGTCCTTTTGTTTTCTGTCACTTGGGTAAAATCTAAACACCTCCTAAAGAAAGACCCTCATGCTCAAGTGTTTATTAATGTAAGCACCCACCTTTATTTTGATAGGCTGTCTTTTGTCGTCTCTTTTCTGGCTTAACCATAATCTTTAAAGAGTTAGCCTCTCAGAGACAGTGCCCAGGAAAGTTGAATGTGTGCTTCCATTAGCGTGTGTGTTCTTCAGTCCACAGCGTCTATCACCTTCTAAATGTACTTCCCTCCACTTTCAGAGATTCTCTTCCATTGCTTCTCTTTAAGGGTCCCCAGAGTGTGTTCAGGGCTCTAACTAAAGGTCTGGCAAAGAGAGGGTCTGTGGTCCACTTGTCCAGTTGGTTTGGAAAACCCTTTGCTAAGTAGGATTCAGTGGACTTCTTAGGTGTAGGACTTTTCAAAGATTTTGATATTCTAATGGTCACTGTGGACTTGAGGAATTTCCATGGGGATGAGATACAAAATACAGAATTTTCCAAATCTGACTGACCACAGAACCCTTTTAAGACAAGTTTGTGAGCCACCCACCTTTGAGATGCCCAGTATGAAGGATAGATTTGAATTGCTCTTCATAACCTTTGCAGTCAACTTTTATTCTAGCCTTCCACAGAAAGTTACTTTTTTTTTTTTTTAAGATTTTATTTATTTATTTATTAGAGAGCGAGCGAGAGAGAAACAGCATGAGAGAGGAGAGAGTCAGAGGGAGAAGCAGGCTCCCAGCTGAGCCGGGAGCCCGATGTGGGACTCGATCCCAGGACCCTGGGATCATGACCTGAGCCGAAG